TATATCAAAGGTTCGCCAGGAGCACTTCCAGGGAATATTCTCCAGAAGATATATATATATCCATGGCATATTCATAGCATAATACAATAAATGTATATGTATATTCATGAAATATACCTGGAATATCTATTGTTATGTGGGTTGTACTAAATGAACGAGTCATCAATTACACAAATCTTATTATAGTCTATCATAGTGCCTAAAAAAACTGGACCAATAATTTCGTCTGGAAACCTCCATAATATCATTTATTAGGACTTTCAATACTCAAATCATCAACCAGAATGATGTCATCGGTTTTTGCAAACATGTTTCTCAGCGCCTGCAATAGTGGATAAGTTATCGATATATATCGAGCTTATTGTCTCCTCAAAGGTAATGAATTACATAGAACAAGTAGTTTCACTAACCTAGTTTTATACTTTCTGAAATTTCTCGATTCTATACATTTTTTATTGGCTTCTCATCAGTGGTCCACAAATACTTATGAAATAAAATAGTAATCGATTCCACGCTTCAAAACTACTCATTCAACTCCTCTATTTTATAAAAAAGATTATTGAAGACAAAATGTCAGTATAAGTTAGATGTGCCAACATTTATGATTTTCAAAACAGAACATAACCCATAAATGGGTTATTGATTAGCTATCAATTGCGTCGGTTGCCCCTAGCTCCGCGCCCACATGTTCTTCAAATATATTTGATGACCTCCATTATCCCTACTCTACTATTGTCGTCTTCATTTCATCAGTATCTATGTTAATTCACTTTTCAAACGGGAATTTAAAATATTACATTGGCAACAGGCGAATAGGTGATTTATATTAAGGAAAGGATAGACTGTTGATAACATTGAACGTCATTGTTAGCAATGGCGCCAGAAGACTGATTAATAGGTAGCTTCTTTCAATATTTTCAGTTCGATATCTTAGATTTTCCGTTATTGAAGCAAATCTATACATTTGTCTATACAGTGAGCACCATAGGTTCGTTCCAACCTTGAGTCACCAACAGATTTCCAACAGTTTTTAAATCGTTGTCAACGCGCATGTCTGTTAAATATTGGTTTCTGATTAATTTGAAATTTCTGATTGGAACAGCTGATAGTTCAACTGAAGTTTGGCATGGAATTTCAACATAACCTTTAAAAATAATTNCTAATAAAATAATTTCATTAAAGCTACAGGAAACAGTTATAAAATAAGATTGAAATAGTTTTATAACTATCATAAAATCTCGCAGAAAAGTGTTATAAAACTGCTACAAAACAATGTACTTTTATAGGAAAATAAGTTTTATGAATTAGTTCCGAAAACGTTTCTGTGATAAGTTCCTGACTATTTTATAATGGTTTTTTGATTTTATTTCATAATCGTTTCCATGACAAATTTATAAAACACTTTTATTGCCTACAACTGTATTGTGTTCACCGATCATCTAATATAATCAATTAGCATATTGGAAGTAATTATAAAATACTAATAAAATAAAACTGTTGCAACACCATGGAATTATAAAACAACTTTGCTGGTTGGGATGTTTGCCGATAGATGTCGAAACTTGGTTCTGCATAGAGAAATAAACTTGTGATAGAACATTTAAATACTTATTGTGTAGGAAAACATATTATGGGTGTGTAACATCCAGCTGCCATTAGAACTGACGGAGTTATCAAAAACATTTTCAAAGGTATCTGTATCTGTAGAGTAGGGAGGGGGAGTGTAAGTCCACAGCACTCAGGCCTCAGATGCCACTGAGGCCTGATGACTCCTAAAATTCGTAGTCCAGCCGTTTCCTCGGCTAAAGAGTCGGCAGGGTGATTGCCTTTACTGCTGTCGTGCCCTTTAACCCACCTCAGGATGTTATTATTATCTACCGAGGCTTTGGCTGAATCTTGGTGGCACTCTAGTACTAGTCCTGAGGTTACACGTTGTCTGTTTGAGGCTAATAGGGCTTGTCTGCTGTCAGTGCAGATTGTTATGTTTTTGCCAGAAATTCCTTTCCTGGTTATTTCTTGTATGGCAATTGAGATATCATTCCCCACTTAATCCTTACACTTAGTAATCTGGAGTACACTCTACATCCTGAGCCTTCTTTGGTTTTTGAGCTGTCTGTATACAGGGTGTAACTGAATAAGTGTAAAACATTCAAGGAGGTGATTTCTCATCGAAAAAAAGATAGGATCTTTCATATAAAAAAACTTCATTGGAGCATCCCTTGTTAAGATACGGCCCCTTAAAGGGGGTACATAAAATTTGTATAACAATTTTTTCCACAAGCACTGAAGAAGTGACAATATTGAAATTGACCTGACGTTTTGTACTACCAAAAAGACACTTACCCAGTGATTTATTTCGTTTACTTCATGGTTGTAAGAAGTGGAAAACGCAACCCCAAAAATTTGTTTCCAATGTAACTTTTTGTCTCATTATTTGTTTACCATTTAAAAATTTATTTCCGATAGTCTGTTTCATTCTAAAGAAAAAATGTCTCTTGGGTTTTTTGCCCAAAATAAACCAGTTCGCAGCAGAAAAATATTTTACGAACAACTACAGAAATACATCGTTTATCATTAATAGCCATGATCCAGAAAATTTTGCAGTCTTGTTTGGAAAACTAAACACTCACTCAGGTACTGACAGTGGCATAAGCATAGAATGAAAAATTATTGATCGTTTTTAAATTTCAGTACAATTTATCATACTAAAAAACATTTTTCATTTTGTAAATTCGAGGGCCCGTAACTTGGTTACGAAGACTTTTAGGAAAAAAAGTTATATGAAGTACTGGTGATATTTTGACCCCATCTATACATTCCCGAGAGGAAAAGAGGAAATGCAGGTCAGATCCATGAATAGGACGAAAAAAATAAAAGCAAAATGAAATATTTTATGTGTAATATATTCTCATCAACAATAAATATAACATTGTGTAACAAGATCTATTCATGTTTATCCCGTGCACCTAAATCAAAACTTCCAGTGTGGGGTAGATTGAGTTCTGCTAGGGTTATGGTAACCTGTAAAAATAATTTCTTTTGAAAACACATCATTGATATCAAATTTAAATTTTTTATCAGAATAACTCTTATGAGTAAGGACACGATGTTTCTTTCTGGAGAAGAAGAAAAATGGTCATCTTTGGCGATAATCTGAGATATTTTTATTCCATCATGGCAGCTGTGACTATATGAATGGAATTTCCTTCTTAGCCGGGCCTGAGGAAAGTTTTCTTTACAACTTCATCGATTGAACATTGAGAAGAATCTACTGTAGCAGTGATAGTGTATTGAAGCATGCCATCCAATCAATATATTATTTCAAAATACATAAACTCCTTCCAGTTTTATTGACAATAATGTTTATATTCCACTTCATTTTTTTCTGTTAATTCATATCCTTGTTAATTCACTTGATATTAATGGATTTTATTATTAATTATTAATAGCTTGAAATAATGAATACATTAAGCAATGAACCGTAAAGTGAAATTGAACATGAAATGATCAAATAAAAATAAAATAATAATTGAAAAATCTTAAACTTAGTTACTTCAAGACGTTTCAATTGTTAGTATCCACAACCGTCTTCGTTTGGGACTATTCCTTCGAGAAATGACTGTTTATAGGTCATTCTTCTCCCCTCTTTCCTCTCCCTGCTTCACCGGTTTAGTGGTAGTTAACTGTTTTTCCACTTGATTGAAGGTTTTCATATGTTGCGTATCTCTACGTTAGCTTGACAAAATGCGTTGGACAACATAGTGTCACACATAAAGTCCGCATCAAATGGGATTTTTTTTTTGTTCATCTCTTTAAGTAACTTTTGATATCTCCATTAGGTTGTGCTTTAAAAATGATGCCAAATGACATGCATATGATCAATCAAGTGATTTTTCTTCCCTGTCCAATTTGACATTTTTTTCAATAAATGTTCAGAAAAGCAGTTATTGCCCGAAATTTCGAAAATCGGTAAAGAGAAAAAATGATTGTTTTTTCATTTTTTACCCATATACCAATTTTTAGCTCTCTAGTACAAATTTAGTTTTTTTACAGTTTTTCGAAAATTTGACATTTGCCGATTTCTCAAATTTAGCCAAACCTCAACAAAGTTAGTGCTTTATGCCTAACTTATCTTTCCAACGCATTTTTATTACCAATTGCAATTCTAAATACAACTTATTTCGCAAAAATTTAAAACACCAGAAAAAATTATGC